TCCTTAAACATTTGTGATTCGACAGTGACAGTTAGTAGTGATGATTATTTTTTAAATAATTAAATGATACAAACATACATACATAAATATATATATATATATATATATATATATATATATATATATGTTGTATATTCAAATTATTAGGCTGAATTTATAACAGTAAAATCATATCTCCTTCAAATGTGTTGTAAACACTAGGCTTAATTTTAGCTTTCCTTCCTAGAATTGTCTGCATTAAGAAGAAATTCATTTTAAAAAACTTATGAACATTCATCTGAACAAATTCATTTAAGAAAACTTAATAATTACTATGATTAATTTCCTGTAATTACATGATTGAATGATGTTACATTATATTAAAGGACGACAAGCTAAGAATATATATTTGCAAAAGACGTCCTTTGCTTGAAGAAGCAACCACCTTTGGTTGAAGAAAAGTAGTCTACTGAAAGAACGATCTTTGCTGATAATGATTTTTAGTGACCTTATTTAGAACTTCTGCTTCTAGTTTAGATTATATATTAATCTAAATTAATTTTATATTAGTTTTTTCCACGGCATGGGTCCGTGAAGTCCTCTATAAAAGCCTGACCCTCCTCGCTAGCTGTCCTCTATAACAAATATTGATCACCATTTGTATTCTGATATTAAGATGGGTCTGTTCCTTCAGATGTTGACGGTGTTTGTAACGACGGTTTCCCTGCAAGGATGGCTGCCTCTTGGTTGCTTGGATGAAGAGAGAATCGCTCTGTTGCAGCTCAAAGATTCTCTTAACTATCCCAATGGCACCTCCCTTCCCTCCTGGATAGAAGCTGACGCCAACTGTTGTTCTTGGGAACGTATAAAGTGCGACAGCAGCACAGGTCGAGTCATCGCACTCCATCTTGAGGAAACAAGGAATGAGGTACTGGGAGATTGGTACTTAAATACCTCCTTGTTTCTTCCTTTTCAGCAACTCAACGCTCTCGCCTTGTGGGGTAATCGTATAGCTGGTTGGGTTGAGAAGAAAGGTTTGCTCTCTCAAGTATTACAAAATATTTAGATTAGTTTTGCTCTTAAGAGTAATTACATGCCTCTTGATCAATCAATTATAATTAAATTATTCCAATAATATCTTTTTTTATTTTTTATCTGAGGTCTTAATTTAATTTATTTTTTTATATATATAGGTGGTTATGAGTTACAGAGATTGAGAAATTTGGATTACCTTGACTTGGGATCAAATAGTTTCGATAACGGTATTCTATCATTTGTGGAGGGATTTCCGTCTCTTAAATCATTATATTTATATTATAATAGACTAGAGGGGTTAATAGATTTGAAAGGTTAGTTTTCTTTTATATACTATTATTTTTAATTAACTATTAAATTTAATTTTGAAAAATACAATTTAATTTATGTGGTGTGGTGAATTAATTAATTATTATTTTATATAAATATCAAGGATCTTTGAGCGGCTTGGAGGTCTTGGGTTTTAGCGGCAACAATGTTAACAAATTGATAGCCTCAAGAGGTAATTAGTACTTCGTAGAATCATGATGATGAGCCCATCCATACAATATTAATTATTCAGTTTCTTCGCTAACTAACTTGCAGGTCCAAGCAGCTTGGCTACTCTACACTTTTATAATGTGACAACCTATGAAAATAGCTCCAAGTTACTGCAATCATTAGGAGCATTCCCAAACCTCACGACACTTTATCTGAGGTACAATGATTTTAGAGGAAGAATATTAGGTGACGGTAAGTATATATATTTGAACAGAGTTGTAAAATTTAATTGAAATTTTTGAAAAATATAATATATGGAATGCAAAGGTAAATTTTGAAAATGTTTATATATTTTTGGGTTTAATTTTGTTTTGAGCAGAGTTGCAAAATTTAAGTTCATTGGAAAGTTTGTATCTGGACTATTGTTCTCTAGATGAACACTTCCTTCAAAGCCTTGGAGCACTGCCTTCTCTGAAAAATCTATCTTTGCAAGCACTCAGTGGAAATATACCTTATAGAGGTAAATTAACAAATTTGAACTCCACTATTACTTATCATTGATCTTTCTACTTCTTTAAAACACCTATCTTTGCAAGCACTCAATGGCCTGCTATGATTAGATGTGTTTGCATATAATTCCTCTTTTATGTTTTTGCAATCTACTAAACACCATTTCAGTGTAATGTAAATATAATGATAACATAAAAAATAATAATTTCTTTAATGAAAAGGCAACTTCATACATAGGAAGTGCTGTTTTTAAGAAGAGAATAAATTAACAATGGTGTCTTTTTATTTTTTGTGTCACACGTGTAAAAAAATCCTTCTCTTAAATGGCCAATACAATTTCTACACTTAGGTCACACGTGTAAAAAAATCCTTAAATGGCCAATACAATTTCTACACTTACCTTATGTTTTTAGTTTTTTTAGCCATGATTACTAAGTAATGAATTATTTCTAATTTTAATTCCTTCTAAGTTAATGTAATTTATTGTTTAATTGATTGTGATAGACTTTCTTGATCTCAAGAACTTGGAATACTTGGATTTGAGTTACAATACTCTAAATAATAGCATCTTTCAAGCCATCAGAATGATGACCTCTCTTAAATATTTGAATTTACATGGATGCAAACTAGATGGCCAAATACCTATAGCTCAAGGTAAGGTTAATAACTCTTACTCTTTCATTTCCTTTATAATTTTAATTGTTTCTATGTCAATATAATTTCTTCAATGTGGTAGGCTTCCTTAATCTCAAGAACTTGGAATTTTTAGATTTGAGTTCCAATACTCTCGATAATAACATCTTCCAAACCATCGGTAAAGTTGATTACTTTTACTTTCTCTCTCTATAGTTTATATATTTTTCATTAGACACTTAGAGTTTTAATTTTCCTAAATTATAATGTGATCAGGTCTATGTGACTTAAATCATCTCCAAGAGCTATATATGTATGACAATGATCTCAGTGGTTTCTTGCCTCCGTGTTTGACAAATTTGACTTCTCTTCAACTACTAGATCTCTCTTTTAACCACTTGAAGATTCCTATATCATTGAGCCCATTATACAACCTTTCAAAACTCACGTATTTTGACGGTTCAAATAATGAAATATACGCAGAAGAAGATGATCATAATCTGAGCCCAAAGTTCCAGTTAGAGTTCATCTTTTTGAGCAGTCGTGGACAAGGTGCAGGAGCATTTCCTAAGTTCCTTTACCATCAGTTCAACCTACAATCTTTGGATTTTACAAACATCCAAATAAAGGGAGAGTTTCCAAATTGGTTGATTGAGAACAACACATACCTCCATGACCTTTCATTAGAAAATTGTTCTCTTTCAGGTCCATTCTTGTTACCTAAAAATTCTCATATGAATTTGTCATTCCTAAGTATATCCATGAATTACTTCCAAGGCCAAATCCCTTCAGAAATTGGAGCTCATTTGTCAGGGTTAAAAGTTTTATTTATGTCTGACAATGGTTTAAATGGAAGTATTCCTTTCTCGATGGGTAACATTAGCTCGCTACAAGTGTTAGACCTGTCCAACAACAGTTTACAAGGGCACATCCCTAGATGGATAGGGAATATGTCTTCTCTTAAATTCTTGGACTTATCAGTGAACAACTTCTCTGGTCGTTTGCCACCTAGATTCGACACCGCTTCTTCAAATTTGAGATATGTTTATTTGTCTAGAAATAAATTACAAGGACCGATCACAAAGGCATTTTATAACTCCTCTGAGATGTTTGCACTAGATCTTTCCCATAATAATTTAACTGGTAGTATTCCAAAATGGATTGACAGACTATCTAACTTGAGATTTCTACTCTTAAGTTATAACAATCTTGAAGGTGAAATCCCAGTTCAATTATACAGATTGGACCAATTAACCCTGATTGATCTATCTCACAACCACCTTTCTGGTAACATCCTCTCTTGGATGATATCCACTCATCCTTTCCCAGAACAATACAACTCCTATGATGATTTGTCCTCATCACAACAATCCTTCGAGTTTACAACGAAGAATGTATCCCTTTCTTATAGAGGCACCATTATCCAGTACTTCACAGGAATTGATCTCTCATGCAACAATTTCATAGGAGAGATTCCTCCTGAAATTGGAAACCTCAGCATGATCAAGGTATTGAACCTTTCACACAACAGTTTAACCGGACCAATTCCACCAACATTTTCAAACTTAAAAGAAATAGAGAGCTTAGATCTTTCCTATAACAAACTGGATGGAGAAATCCCACCTCACCTTATTGAACTATTTTATCTAGAGTTTTTTAATGTGGCACACAATAATCTGTCTGGCAAGACTCCTGCGAGAGTTGCACAGTTTGCCACGTTTGAGAAGAGCTGCTACAAGGACAACCCTTTTCTTTGTGGAGAACCACTACCCAAGATTTGCAGTGCAGCTATGCCACTGTCACCAACACCAACTTCAACAAACAATGAAGATGATGGTGGCTTCATGGATATGGAAGTTTTTTATGTGACTTTTGGGGTTACATACATCATAGTGCTGCTGGTAATAGGTGCAATTCTTTACATAAATTCATATTGGCGACGAGCTTGGTTTCACTTTATTGAGGCGAGCATCAACAATTGCTATTATTTTCTGGTGGACAATCTTCCCATTTTATCCAAGTTTTGATTTTCATAGCCTCGATGGTATTAAGACTTGGTGCATTGTTGTGTATTCTAGTTTTAAGATTTAAACAAGTTTAAATGCATGCTTAAGCGATGTTGTATTAATTTTCATTTATGTTTTTATTTTTCATTTTAACTTTTGTGTGATATAATAATTAAATTTCTTCAATCATTTATCTAGGCAAGTTCAATTCAATTTTAGTTTGGTGTGATTTTATTTAGTGGGGGCTTTTCAAGCCCATAAAAAATTCCATGAGTTTTACTTTTCATTTTCTTCATACTTGTATATTACATTACTACTGGATTTATATGGATGATCAATTCAAATTTACAACACAAATATCCAAAAATATTTAATATAAAGGGGAATACATTACAACACAAATACTATTGTTAAAAATACAAATTTGCATTATCTTCCTGTATTGAATTCATCAAAGAATATGGATTTGTCTTGGTAGTTTTCTTTTCTTGGTACCTAATATTTCTTGAGGTCACAATTGATATAAAGGCAAGATTGTCCAAAAAGAATTTCTTCAATTTAGCTTACAGGATATATTCACACACGAAGCACCTTACCAGTTCTTGCTGAAATTGCTTAATTTTCTGGAAAACAATTTGTGTTTGAATGACTCTTACTCTCAATAATAGCTTCTTCCAAACCAGCCTTGCTCAAGCTATTAAGAACACAACTTACCATTTAATATTTTAGCTGGAGTCATCAACCAGAAGATATAATCCCTCCGGATGCACTGTTCAATGGCTGAAAAGGCAACCAAGTTTTCAACTTTTCCACCTCTATATGCAACCAATATTTGGAATGTAACCTTCTCTCTTCATCTCCTCATTCAGCAATTGGTATATGTTCACCGGATGATGATTTAAGTTGTCACCAGCATGAAATTCATGAGCACGAGCTCCAATGTCAATCCAGTTACAGCAAGGGGTTTTAGAGATACCACACTGCCTCATCAACACCCTTGTCTTTGCAGAATCATCCCACCTTCTCATATTTGCATATATCTTAGATAAGATAACATATTTTCCTGAATTTGATAGCTCCGTCTCTAGAAACAATTGAATGACCCTTTCATCAACATCTGCATTTCTACACCTCTGGCAGGCACCAAGCAATGACCCCAACACAATTTCATATGGTTTTCCAAGCATCTTCTTGATTAAGTCCCAGGCTTCGTTCAGAAGTCCTGCACGCGACAAAGATCAACCATGCAAGAATAATGCTCGACTTTTAGGACCAATCCAATCAATCCAAATGGCAATGTCATTGATTCAAAAACTCTCACATTTAGCATACATATCAATTAATGCACTCGCAACATAGACATCGTGCTGTAAACCTCTTTCTGATGCATGTGTCTCAACCCATTTCCCCAAATCAAAGGCCCCTATTGTGGAACATGCAGACCATATATACTTCAATCATTGTGACTTTATCTGGATTAGGACCTGTCTCTCTCATTCCATTGAATAGTACAATTACTTCATTGGAAGCTCCATCCTGTGAGAACCTATTAAGTGATTGTTGAACAAAAAAAAATCATATTAACTTGAAATACATTTACAAATTTCATATACCTGTGTGGTTTTTATTTCATTGATGATTAATTAGGAAGAATTCAAATTTGAAGTTAGTTCAAAGGAACAGAAATAGACACAATTTCATTATATGTGTCAATTACCAAGTATAAAGCGCATCTAATTGCCCTGTGATAATGGCATTCCAAGTGACAACATCCTTGTTTGGCATTGAATCAAAAGACCCTCCTCGCAGATATCAAATCCCCACACTTACCATACATGTCAATCAAAGCAGACCCCACATACGAATTTACCTCCATCTTCTTCTCCAAAACAAACCCCTCCACCCATCTCCCCAAACCCAAATCCCCCAAATCCCCACACGCCCCAAGAACACTCACCAACGTCATCTCATCTGGCTCAAACCCCTTCTCCCTCATTTCCATAAACAACCCAAATGCCTCGTTAGTCTTAAATTTTGTAGCCATATTTTAGCTTTATCTTTTAATGAAAAAGGAAAA